GAGGGAGGGGAGGGGAGAGAGGGGAGGGAACGAAAGGGGGGGAGGGAAGGGGAGGGGAGGAGAGGGAGGGGAGGGGAGGAGAGGGAGGGGAGGGGAAGGGAGGGGAGGGACGGGGAGGGAGGAGAAGAGAGGGGAGGGGAGGGAAGGGGAGGGAGGGGAAGGGAGGGGAGAGGAGGGAAGGGGAGGGAAGGGGAGGGAAGGGGGTGAGGGGAAGGGAGGGAGGGGAGGGGAGGGAAGAAATCCCGAGGAGCTCCTCCAATGTCTCTTCCAACTGCAGACTTACCTGTGTCTTTCCCCTTCCTTTCCCCAAATCGTGCCAGAGTCTACCTGATTCTCGTCTGAGTCCAGCCACATTCTGGGTCGCCTCCCACCCACCTCCCCAGGGGCCTCAGGCCGCCCAGCCTCCTGCCTCCTGTTCCTACCTACATCCTCTCCTCACATTCAAAGACAAACAGCAACTACATGGCAACAACATTTTCACACAAAAATGCTTAAGATATACATTGAGCATCTATATTCTCAAAAGCAGTGGGGACTTGGTTTTGAATTCCCGATCTTCAGTTCCTACCAAGGAGGCATTGGGCAAATTCTTATTTCTCCTAAACTTCAGCTTCTCTTTAAAAAGGGGCATCATGGGGAGCCTGGGTGGCTCAGTTGGTTAAGCGTCCGACTTCAGCTCAGGTCACGATTTCACGGTCTGTGAGTTCGAGCCCCATGTCGGGCTCTGGGCTGATGGCTCAGAGCCTGGAGCCTGCTTCCGATTCTGTGTCTCCCTCTTTCTCTCTGCCCCTCCCCCGTTCATGCTCTGTCTCTCTCTGTCTCAAAAATAAATAAACGTTAAAAAAAATTTAAAAATAAATAAATAAATAAATAAAAATAAAAAGGGGCATCATGGGGAGCCTGGGTGGCTCAGTCGGTTAAGCCTCCGACTTTGGCTCAGGTCATGATCTCAAGGTTCATAGGTTCGGGCCCCATGTCTGGCTCTATGCTGACAGCTTGGAGCCTGGAGCCTGCTTTGAATTCTGTGTCTCCCCTCTCTCTGTCCTTCCCCTACTCACTCTCTGTCTCTCTCTCTCAAAAATAAATAAACATTAAAAATTGTTTTTACAAAAAGGAGGCATCATAACACTTTTTGCAGGATTATTAAAAAATGATAAATATAATCAATGTAAAACCTACTGCAGCAATAAAAGATTGCACTGTTTGATCCATACATTAGATATTTTGATTTAAAGATTTATGCAATCCGAATGATCTTCAAATTCCATTAGGCGTCTTATACTTCAAGTTCTTACAACATGAGTAGAAACTGAAATGAATGTTCAAAGAGAAATCATGATGTGAATTCCTTAATTCCAGGCTTGAAGATGACAAAACACCAGTGCTTCTGATGTTATAAAAAATTACTTGCTTAGGGGCACCTGGGTGGCTCAGTCGGCTTAGCGTCTGACTCTTAGTTTCAGCTCAGGTCATGGTCTCACGGTTTTGTGGGTTCGAGCCCTGCGTGGGGCTCTGCACTGGCCCCACTGAGCCTGCTTGGGATTCTCTCTCTCTCTCCCTCTCTCTGCCCCTCCCCACTCCTGCTGTCTCTCTCTCAAAATAAATAAATAAACTTACAAAAAATTACTTGCTAAAAGAGAATGACGAAAGGAGAAATTCCATGATTTTCTCTTAGTAAAGTGATCTCCCTTTAAAAAAACAAACAACAGGGGGGCACCTGGGTGGTTCAGTCGATTAAGTGTCTGACTTTGGCCCAGGTCATGATCTCGCAGTCTGTGAGTTTGAGCCCTGCATCGGGCTCTGGGCTGACAGCCCCCTTTCTCACAAAGGGGGTGCTCTGCATCGTAAGGTGTTGGGAGGTGGGCTACTGGTACCATTAGTTCATTTAAAAGTGAATTAGGTATTTTCTAATGAATCAGCCTGGAACCTGCTTCCTATTCTGTGTCTCCCTGTCTCTCTGCCCCTCCCCCACTCGCATTCTGTGTCTCTCAAAAATAAATAAACATTAAAAATTTTTTTTAAATAAAAAGAAGGGGTGCCTGGGTGGCTCAGTCGGTTAAGCGCCCGACTTCGGCTCAGGTCATGATCTCTCAGTCAGTGAGTTCGAGTCCCTCATCAGGCTGTGTGCTGACGGCTCAGAGCCTGGAGCCTGCTTCCTACTCTGTGTCTCCCTCTCTCTCTGCTCCTCCCCCACTCACACTCTGTCTCTCAATATTGTCTCTCAATAAATGTTTTTTAAAAATGCATTTAAAAAATAAATGAAAATTAAAAAATAAAAATAAATAAAAAATAAAAATCACCACCACCACAAAAATAGCAGTCCCATTCACAAGTTTCTTGAAAGAACAATCTCCTTAATTCTCTGCAAACTGATTTCCGGAGGCTCGTCAGTAGCTTCCCTGTCAATAAACGCAACCTCCGTTTTAGTGCTCTTTGTGGTTCGTTCAATCATTTTATCGAGCGCCTGCCATGGAGCGAGTTCCTGCCACTAGGCTAACACATTGGAGGTGGCCATGTGTGGTTTTGGGTTTTTTCTCATTCAACAAGTATTTTCTGAGCTCCTCCCGTGTGCCAGGCACCGTGCTCTGTGGGCACCGGGGGACACCCTGGCCTGGAGGTGAGCCTAGGTCGTTACAGCTACGTCTGGCGCAGACAGTGAGACCCGAAGAACACGCAAGATGGACACCTAACTTCAGCCCGTGGGAGGCAAGGGAATCTCAGAGGCCATCCCCGAGGAAGCGACATCCAAGTTTAGTCTAAAGGATAAGAAGGGACGATGAAGAAGGAATCTCTGGGTGGAACACCACAGGCCAATGAACAGTAGAAACATGGTACAAGCTATGTTGTGGTGGTCACAGGGAATTCGAGTCACACAGAGGAGGGCACGGGGGTGTTCAAGGGAGGTGACGCCTTACCTGGATCTTCAAGGATGATGAGGCGTCTCTTAAGGAGGCGAAGGATGTCCTGGAAAGACCATGCTGCGTGTGCAAAGGTACAAAGTATGGCATCTTTGGAGAGGTGTAAGCGAGTACGAGATGATGGCTGAAGGGTAGGGCATGAGGACAGTGCAGCACCTGGGGGACACGAATGCCATAGTAAGTAGTTTGGACTGAAAGTGATAGGAATTGCTGAAAAAGAGGAGAGAGAGAGAGAGACAGAGAGAGTTAGTTCCCTTTTATAGTGATGGCTCCAGCTGCTACATGGAAGACACATTAGGAGAGTAACACCGGAGCGGGGGAGACAAGTTAGAAAGAAGACTATTGTAATCCAATGATTAGGGTGAAAAATGACAGGTCCTACAGGTCCTGTAGGTCCACAGGTCCTACAGCAGTGGCTGTAGGATGTCAAATGTAAACAGCTGGTTCACTGATATAAAGGAATATTAACAACATGGGCTCTCGAGTCAGACTGACCAAAGTGTGAATCCCAGTCCTGTCCCTCCCTATCTGTGAGCAAGTCACTTAACCTCTCGAAGATCCCATTGCCTCACCTGTGAAATCAGGACAATGATAAAGACCTCCGTTGTTGAAAGGGCAACATAGCATAATATCCACGAGGAACACAGCCTGAGGCAGCACTCGGTGGATGTGCACAAATGACAGTCACCGTCCTTAGCACCATTAACTGCACTTGGTTGACCAGATGTAGATCCTGAGAGAGACCAGAGACCGCAGTGACTCCAGGGTCTCTGGCTGGCCACAACTAACAGAAAGCAGAGAGAGGAGAAGGCAGGTGGGGAAGGAGGCCCGGGAGAGGATGCGCTCATTTGTTGAGAAGGAAGTGCCCACCGTTGGAAGAGATAATCCTCCAGTCTTTCGCACCCTGGATCTTGCTGTGTGTGCCAAGAGGGCAAGACCCTGACCACTTGTTACCTGGGCCACTTCTCAGTGTTGTCTTTGTGGCGAGCAACCTTGAAAGATGAGGTCGTGTCTCCCTCTAGGCTTGCTTCCTGCTTCCTGCATGAGCAATGGATTGCCTAGCTCTATTCCCAAGTTCCCCCATGAGGCAAACCCACTGCTTGCAGAGCATCCCTCTGGGCCCGTCGTGCTGCCCCATGGGAACTCAGAGGCAAGGGAAATTGATGCAAATATGCAGCTTCTCATGCTGTGTGCGCCTGAGTAATAAAGTCCTGTGTCTCTGACCCCGGAGTCTCGTGTCTTCTGCCAACATCGAGGAATCAGTAACAGGTTAACTTATTAGCTTATGAGTTGGAAAGAGAGACCTGGGGACATCGGTGTGCGCACGGCAGGTAAAGCCATGAGTATAAATAACATTGCCTGGGAAGAGGTCTGGGGCGTAGTCTGGGTAACACCAACAAGGAAAGGATGAAAGTAAGAAAAGGAGCTCCCGGATGACCTCAAGAAAGAAATCTAGAGGGGAGTAATGCCTTACAAGCCAAGGGAGTAGAGTTTCAATCTAAACAAAATAGGAAACAGGAAGACACGCTGCTTAAAAATCAAGACTGAAAGCAACCACTGAACTCAGCAACGAGGTGACTGGCAGAGACATTTCAATGACATAGGGTGGCCAGAAGCCGCCCCCCCCCCCGCCCACTCCAGAAGAGGAGAGAATGGAGGTAAACATCTTAAATAAATGTCTCCAAAAAGCTTAGCTGAAAAGGAAAGAGAAAGGTGGAGCATTGGTGACTGGAGGGGATGCAGGCAAATGAAAGCTTTCCCTGTAAACAGATGGGAGAGATCTGAGCAGATTATCCACGAAAGAGAACAAACAAGTCAGGAAAGAGGGAAAAGTGGAGTAAAAAAAAACAAACTCAGAGTAAGGAAAGATGGAATCAGGTCTCTGCAGAAGAGGAAAAGGATGACATTCAGATCCCAAGTGAGGGACTGGCCAGGACCCTCTTCCACTGAGGTGGCATTTGCCCCAACCACACGCCCAACCTGCCCGCTCAGATTGTGGTTTGCCTGCAGGTGCGTGGAGCCCCTGGTCCCTAGGGAGGGGCCTGGTCAGCAAGTTTCCCTGCTGGTCACCATGCCTGGCAGTCCTCCAGGCCAGAGATGACAGGCACCAGAGTGTTTCCCAGCCTGGGTTATTTGGAGATGCCATCAGTCGTACTCCCCACACAAAGGGTCCAGGCAAGTTTGGAAGGTGTTGGGTAAGGTCTGTGAAGCCAGCCTCCAGGAAGACTGAGTGTTCCCTGCCAGTAGAGATGGGGCATCCGGAGGGAAAAGAAAGCCTTCTGGGGGAGACACAAGGGCTCATCCTCCGGGTCCTCGGGGTTGGCGGAGAAAACACCCATGGGAAGACCCCAGTGCGGCTCGCAGAGTCCTTTGCAGAACACCTGCACTCTGCTTGGAGACTCTGCGGCCCCTCCTCCTCCCCTCCCAATTCTTGACACAGTGTTCTTATCCCCACATGACAGAGGAAGGAGCTGAGGGCTTGCCTGATGTTCAGCACGCAGTGCGTGCCGGGGTCCAGCTCTCTATGACTTGGGAACTGCTCCCTGTCCCCGTGGCCCCCACTGTCCTCCGCACTAAAGCGTCAGCCAGGGCCTGGGTCAGGGGCAAGCGCACACAACGTTAGCACTCCCGCAGCCCTGCGGACGACACGGGGGCAGCCACCACCGCCTACGAGCATGCTCTGTGCCGGGGAAGGTGCCCCAAGTGCCTTAGCCTTCTCTCCCGCAGGGCCCTGGTTGGCTTCCCAAGCACCATCAGACCTCACGGGGGTCTGATCCCTTAGGGGCTAGACCTGGCAGAGGGAGGGGGCCAGCAGGACTGGGTAGTTGTTGGCCCTACATGCAGGCATGCCTCTGCTTTTTTGCACGGGGTGACCCGGAAGAACCTCGCCCAGAGGTGTGAGAGCAAGAACATGAGGAGACAACAGTTCTTTACATCTTGATGGTCCAGAGCCTTTAAGGGACTGACGGGAAGCAGCCAGAGGGGCTCTCTCCATAAAAGGGCACGCCCACGACACACAACCTTGGACACAGTTTACGCCTCGGAGTGCCAACCACCGCCACCCCCACCCGGCCCTCCCCCGGCGCCCCCTCCGCAGGCCAGGTGTCAAAGGAGCCTAGGGGCTGGCTAAAAAATGCAGATCCCCCGGCCGCACCGCGGAGACTCTCATTCAGTGGGTCTGGGGCCAGGCCCGGGAGCCTGCGTTTTTAACCAGCACCTCAGATGACTTCGGCACCGACGCGTCGCAGAGCCCACTTTGAGAAACCCGACTCTGGGGCTGAGACACCCCCCCCCCCCCGCCCCCGCCATGTTCCAAAGTTTCCCCATCTCGTCGGGCGCACGGACCGCCTCCCCTCACCTCCCGCGGGCCTCGCCCTCGCGCGCGGTCGTGGAAGCGTCTGGGAAACCCGGCGGGGGCCCAGAGCGAGGGTCCTTGGGGCCTGCTAGCCCCCGGCGCCAGCGCGCCACGGCCCCGGGAGTCGCCGCGCGGTGGCCGGCAGGGGGCGCGGTACCGAGGACGGCGCCGGAGGGGTGTCCGGCAGCCCCAGCCCGGAGCCGAGGGGCGGGAGGGAGATGGGAGGGGAGCGCAGGGGAGCGGGGGAAGGGAGGCGGGAGGCGGGAGGCGCGCGGCGGCGCGGAGCCGGGCGCGGGCGCAGGGGCGGGAGCGGGAGCCGGAGCCCGAGCCGGGGGCGGG